CAAAGTCGGAATACATGAAAAAGACATCAAAGCAAATCTTGACAAGCGTGTGTATGCCTCTTATCTGCATCTAGCGAGAGGGGAGTCGGGAGCGAGACCGTTGCAAAAAGCACACACACAGGCACAGGCACAGCGCCGGGATATGCCTGCCACAGGAAATGCCTTCTGCCGTACTGCTCTGCTCTGCTCTGGTCCTTATGTGGGATACATTTCCTGCCTGGGTTCCTCTGGCTCCTACCCAGCCGTGTTCGAATGCATTTTAAAGTTGCAACCAACCAACCCATTCATAACTGTGACACTGTGCAACAGCACACCACAGCCACAACAAAGTTTTTACCCCAAAAAAAAACATTTGAGTACGAGTAACTTGAGAATGGGTTTTTTGACCAAGCCAGAAATGGACATTGGACATTGGGGTACCCTCAAATGGGGCAGAAATTACAAGCAAAGGAGAGGCGGTGGGGCAGCAGATGAAACTTTTGAGCTTTTCATAAATATTTAATGCTGCTGTTGGGGGGGCATTATATATTTAGATTTAGATGAGAGCACATCAGTACTTGTTATGGTATTATAAAGGTGGGAAGGTTCACTCCATATAAGGGAAAAAGCCAAAGCGAATATTTTGAATTTATTTCATATAAATTCCCAACGCTACAACGAGAATAAATTTATCTACATTGGATCATTTATTTTACCCAGAATCTTTCCTCATCGATAATTTGAATTTATTTATTTAAATTTGAATCTATTTCCCAATCAATGAATTTTAGGCAATCTAATCTGCCTTTTTTCTGAGGCCATAAATTATTCTTAATAATTAAATCTATCAGCAATCATTAGAAACCTCTAATACTCGTATATCTCAATTAATATGAGAACTGTTGAGAATAAAATGTACGAATATGGCCCAAGTATTGTTGGATAAATCTGATGTATCAATGGAAAGATCAAACACTCAGAACTTTATTCTGCTAAGGAATCAAAACGGTTGAATACTGTAGCTAGCTCTGGCATTCCCAAAAAACCATTTGAAAATGTTATACCATCCTTGTCCTTATACCATGCCCATGCCCGTAATTATTGGCCTTTGATTCGCCTCATAAAACGAAAAGCAGTGGACTCCCCTGGATTCTCTCCTACCAAAACCACCTAGACCATATCCCCCCGGCCCGCATACTTATGTACATATTCTGCTGTTGTTTTTCCTTGCTGCTGCTGCTGCAACAGCTGCCACCATTATGGTTCCTTTTTCTGTTGCCGCTGCTGTTGACGTTTATGCAAATTTTGTTGTTATTTTTTGTGTGTCACCAAAAAAAGAAGGAAAACCCCAGTAATGGGAAATCTGGAAAAAGCCTCCTGGCAGGACTTTAGCAATCGATAAATGTAAATTTCTGCAACGAAAATAAGAGAACGTTCCTACAGGAGAGGAGATCCTCAGGTACTTCGGCTTGCATGTGAGTGAACCTTTCCTTTTGGTTGTGGATTTTCATTACATTTAATTTAATTTAATTTGTAAATTATGAATCTCAGAACTCAAGTGGAAAGACTTTCAATCCGGGGAAGAGATTTGTAGGTAGGAGCAGGCGTATCTAAGGAACATCTAAATCATGCCCGGTACTAAGGCTACGGCTACTGCTTCAGCTCCATTTACATCCTGTAAAACTTTGTCCTGCTGGTGCTGCTGCTGCTGCTGCCACCGCCTTGTTGCGTAACTCGAAAGTAATTAAATTGAAACAGAGTGCAAAATGCACACAAAAGCCGGAAACTCCAAAGCCAAAGGGGGTAGTGGCACATGCAGGGGCGTGGCATGCAACAGACACACACATACATATGCATATCTACATATGTTTAGTGTTTGTCTGCGTGGGATTTGTCCGGGCAAAAGTCAAGTGTTCCAGCAGCAAAAGTGTTGAAGCCAAATGGAAATGGAGCGAGGAGGACTGGAAGCATGTTGACAGCCATAGCATTTCCCCCCCCCCCACACACACACACACACACACACCCCGCTACTGCTGTATGGAGCTGGACTCCACTCCGACTCCCCCACTCCTTTTATAGTTATAGTTATGATGATTGTTGATTTAGAGTTTTTAGTTTTTAGCCTGCCAGATGGTGATGGGTGGTGGTGGGGCCGGCCAAGTGGGACAGGGATTTGTGTGTAGCATGCAATTAATTTTGTAGCCCGAACTTCAAAGGAGTTGCAGCGACAACGATGATGACAACACTGGCTGCTGACTGCTGGCTGCTGGCTGCTGATCAATGAGGGCTCTTTGATGCAGTGCTTCCCCCATTGGCATTCCCCTTGGGTTTTTGGTCTTTTGACAGCAGTGCTAATGGAGGAGAATCCCCAATCCCCATACCAATCCCGGCCAAAAAACCAATTCAAACTCTTTCTGTTCCGTTCCCATAGTAGCTGTAACGTGAGACCCTTGGAATGTCACTAATTCTTGCCATCTTTCCCTCTTTCACTCCTCTGCGGAGCCGCGCCTCTTCCCTGTTGGCTGTGGCTGTGGCCGCCTGTCAATGCGAGAAGACTTCACTTGACTCCGTTGCGCTGCTCTTCTTGCGGTTGACATTCGCGACGAGGCCTGTCATGCCTATGGCCTCTCCTTTGCTGGATAGCAACTCCGTTCATCTGTCACCGCCGCCGCTCCATTCCCATTCTGATTCCCATTCCCAGCCAACTCAGAGCCACACAGCCTCCAGGGCCTCCTGTGACAAGTGTAGCTTTGATGGACGACCGATTCGGACTTTCCGGTTGATAAGATTGACAATCAAAGGGAGTGGGAATGGGTTGGCATGGCCGTATTTCGTATTTCGTGGATATTTTCTCTGGGTATAGAAATGTATGTGCAAAAAGGAAAATGTTGAATCCTTTTATTACGAATAACTAGGATAGGTTTGACTACGTTTAGACATGGTTGGATATGAATTATTTTAGAACTGTATCTTAAAGAAGAAGATTTAGAAGCTCTACATATATAATACTTAAGGGTGGATTTGTTTTGCGAATCTCAGTCGACTTTTCAGTTTCAAAACTTTCTTCCCATGAAAGTTGTTCCTACCAAGTAAACTTTCCTAATTCCCAATTTTATTAGCCCGAAAAATGTCACACTTATTATTCTTTGCCGATAAAATCTCTCTCTTCAATCTCTGCTATGGTCTAAAGGCCTTTAGCAGGCTCAAATCAAAGCTTACACACACGCACACACACACACAAATACCACAACTGGCACCCAAGCCACAGTGACAACGACAAAGATTGCGGTTTGCTTTTGGCCGCAGCTTTTCGACTTGGTTTACGCTCTGGGAATGTCCACCGCGCGCCTCATGTGGCATGTCACTTGTGGCTTGAGCGAGTGTATACTGTACGTATCAAATTTCCAATGTCTAACCAAAAATATGCGCATAAAAAAAGCTCAGCCCAAAGCGAGTGCATTAGGCCCAATCCACCCCTTGGATGTCTCTTTCGAACCCTCGAACCCACGGCATATGTGCATAATTACACTTTTATTAACAGGCAGCAGCAGCCAAGAGAAGCCAACTGAAAATGTGCCACCCACAAGTCACCCAGCACCCACTTGCCACACATTCACCACCCTCTCTTGGCTCCGTTTTCCTTTTCCGCTTTTCTCTTTGTCTACGTGCCTGGACTGTTGAATGCAAACAGGTGCCACTGAGCCCCAGCCCCTGACTCGAGCTGGGGGGGCCGCCTCTGCTGCTGCTGCTGCAACAACTGTCGTGGCATGGCACCCGTTTGCCTCCTGGCTGCCTGCCTGCATGCATCCCCGGCACATCCTCAGAGACACTTGAGCCGCACTCGGCTTAAATGAAGTGCACACGCCGCCATGCACATCAAAGCGGGCCGACATTAGCCGCAGCGCAGTCAACTAATTAGACACGCCCCCTTGCCCCTGCATCCATTTGAAACCATAATTAACGTTAACTGTTCTTTCTCTCTCCCACTTGCTTTGCATCTATCTAGATTAGAATGCCATTAAAATATTTTAGTTTTATTTTCTCCCAAGCTGAAGAACTGTTTAAATAAAGATGTGCATTAAATACATTAATTTCATATATCACTCTTAAGCCAGAGATCCATACTGCAAAAAGGGCGAAATGTCTAAGCATAATATATCCTTGCCTCATCGTCTGTTCCTAATAGTATTAGTAGTCTTAGTAGTATAAATTATAATCCTAACGATCTCTGCTTTAAAATGAAATAAGATAAAGTGACCTGGTCATAGCGGTTCCCAAAAATATTTATATCGAAGGGCTGAGGGACTATTTCCCATAGAAATCCAAGAAAAACGTTTCTCTCAAGCTGTGATTATCTCATATTTTATTCAACAATTTGGTTGCGGTTCTTAATAAAGAATCGTCTGTTTTGTTTAAGTATGCAAAAACAACTAACCAAAAAACAATAAATCTAGAATTAGTAAATGTACTAAAAGTGTTCTAAAAATCATCTGCAAGCATAAATTTGCCATTAAAAATAAGGACCCATTTAAGCTCAGAGATTGATTCTGTTTTAGACATTTAGACATATTTGATCCAATATTTAGTATACAACGAAAGCTGACTTGATTGCAGTTTAACTGCAAATTGTTAATACATTTTGTCAAGCTTTTTGTTTTGTCATCATATTGTTATACATTAATATGTAATGTATGTAGTAGGTATATATTGCTCAGTCTTCAAATCGAAGTTGTAATGGGGTGGGGGAGGGGAAGGTATTGTGACAAAAAGGGGCAGGATAACCCTAGTATAATATCATAAACATAAAATCTGTTTTGTGTAAAATATATCGGAGTAAAATATTTTTCTGAGGGGGACTAACACACAAAAATATTTAAAAACTATTTACAACTTAGCCGTTAAAAAATAAACCAAAATTCCACATAATTCACACGAACATTAACAACAACAACACATTAACAACTAACCCTAAACGGTAGACTAATATGCATTGTTTAAGATACAGTTTTTGAGTTGTTCTGCTATGAAAACCTTCGTTCTGTGTTGTCATCTTGTGATGCTTTCTTTGAGTATTTCTGCTGTTGCTGCTGCTGCTGCTGGTGCTGCTGTTGATTAACATACAGCTGCAATGGCGACGGCACATGCCCCAGCAGTTGCGCCACCGGTGGCGGTGGTGTCATATCCAACGGTGTTGTAGATGCTGTTGTTGTGGAGCTGAAGCTCGAGGAGCTGGAGCGCGCCGAAAGCGACTGGGCCGAGCGCGTGCGTCTCAGTGGCTCTGTTGACGTGGCTGTAGAGAAATGTCCTGGCTCGCCATAGCTATGAACCCTGCCCACAACTTTGAGTGTGGACCGATAGGGCGGCTGCTGGCACGTCTCGCTGTAGTAGGATTTGCGTAGGATGCAAGAAATTACCAGAAAGGGCACCGTCAGAATGCCAACAAAGCCAATGGTGATGATCACGAGCACATCTAGGCCCTCCAATCGCCAGTAGTTCAGAGTATTTGCATGGGACTTCAGGAAATCCGCGCCACCCGAGTCCAGAATGAGCTCAATTTGCCCGACGGCCAGAGCGGAGGGCGAGGGACCACCCACTAGACGTTTCTTTAGTTGGGCCAAGCTCTCCGCATAGCTGGTGTTCAGCGTAAGCTGCCGGATGCCATGCAGCAGAGCATCATAGACTATGGCATCGTAGTTGACCGTCAGCGCGACGCCATGCAGCTGCAGACGCTTGGCCATCACCTCCTGTTCGGCCAGTATGGGTAGGGCCAGAATGGGCGTGTCTCCCATTATGGATTCCCAAACGCTCAACTGGCCGCAGCTGCTGATGAACAGCTTCACCAGAGAGTGCGACAATATGGCCTGCTGTGGCCACCAGTTGGCAATCATCACATTCTCCGGCAGCTCCAGATTCGATACAAAATCCTCGTTCTCCCACTTGAGCACGAAATGGAACTCCTTGAGGTGACCAAAAACATCCATGAATATGGCCAACTTTTCGCTGGGCAGCTGCGCTGTCTGGACATCGGCGCCCAGACTCATGTAGATGACACCACCCGCTGCAGCCTCCATAAAGGAAAGTAGATGCTGAAAGGGAAACGAGCGAGAGCTTAGCAAAAAGATTTAATGGCACATTTTCCAGGCTTACGTTTGGCAATTGGAGTTGGTCCGTGCGAGGCGTCAAGTGCAGGCCACCCACCTCCAGCATATTGGGCAGATAGGCACGCGGATAGCTCAAGCCGGGATGGGAGTTAATCAGAGCCAAGCTGAGATTCTTAGTGAGATCCCGATACAGCGGCAATTCCTGTACGAGCAGCTCAAAGTGCTTTGAGTAGACTGTCTGCTGGGAGATCAATTGAAAGAAGCTGTGTGGAGATGCGAGGGATTAGTGCAGATCCTATCTGGGCTTACGATGACGACTCTTACTTGTAGGTCAGACGCTCGAAGGTGCTCATCAGGCTATTGACGATGCGCTGTTGCGTATTCATGCGCTCGGTGAAGGGCAGAAAGTTACTCGGATCCAACGACGAGGACTGTGGATTGCCGAACATGTTGTTTAGCCAGGAATTGGCACCGGTGGGACTGATTGCAACGGTGGGTATGCCATAGTAGTACGCCAGGCTGTAATGGTAGATCATCAGTAAAGTGCCTGCTGCTGCTGCTGCTAGAAGCTTCGCTTCTACTCACCCCAAGAGGGCATCGCTTAGAAACAAATCAACAATCAAAAGATCAAACTGCTCGCCGCTGGTCAGCAGCTTTCGCACCTGCTGATCCGACAGCAACAGATCCACATTGGTGGTGCCCGCATAGATGAGACGCGTAAAACGCTCCATCACACTCTGTGCGCGCATCTGTTCCGGCTCGAAACTCATGCCCATGCCCACCCAGTTTTCCTTGAGCCCTTCAATGCGTATTTCCCTGATGTTTGGCAGCTCCACATCGCCATCCATTCCACCCGCCTCCACGGCATGCGGACTGATAAGCGTGACCGAATGATTCCGTGAACTGGCCACGAGCTCCTGCAGCAGGCGTCGTCCAAAGAGATAGTGCGACTTCCAGACGCTGGGCAGCACGGCCAGGATATTGGCACAGGAGATGGCACCGCACAGCAGCGACAGCGCCAAAAACAGCTGCAACAGACGCATTTTTGTTGTGTGCTGAAGCTTAGGGCAATGTCCGCATTCGCCTATGCATTAGCATCCGCGTACGTGTGCCTGTCCTTGGTAGCAGTTGCTACTTTTCCGGTTTCGCACAACTCCACACACACACACACACACACACACACACAGCTGGCTTAGCCTCCTCCCCTCTCTCTCACTCACTGGAGAGCTGTGTGGCGTCTATTATTATCTGTTGCTGCTGCTAAACAGCATGTTTCACAATGCCAGCCGATGCTCTATTTAAACATAAATTAGCAACAGCAACAAAACACGCAACGAAAGTGAAAAGAACGGTACACAACACAACACACAACAACAACAATGGCCAGATTTTTGTACAACACTGCTTGCATGCATATCGATACATATTTTCCAGGGCTGCCACAGCGGTTCAAAACGAATTAGTAATGAAATGTTATGGTGTGGCAACCCTCAACAACTACGAATCGCTCGAGTATGGCAGCGCCAGCAACAAGCAAATAGCAAAGCCAATTTAGTAATCAAATCCGTGCTAAATTGGGTTAAATTGTTAGCTCCAAACCCAATCAAATGGTTGCATTGTCGCTGTGAGCAAGCACACGCCACTCGCATCCGCAACAAGGCAACAAGAGACGAGCACAAAAATTTGCATTTGGATCAATGCCAAGAAAAGAAAACAAAACAACATTGAACCGCATTAGACAGCAGAAAAAGTGAAAAGAACAGCTGGCAGAGAGCACGCACCTGGCACAGACGGGCGGATTTCAATCAGTTGATAGCAACAGCCCCAACCCTGAGTACACACCTCAGACCACAGCACCGCCAGTGCGCAGCAATTGAAAACAGCAACAAAAGAGTAGTTGGGAAAAAAACCGGCATATAAAACGAGCTTACGTAAGCCACTTAAACAAAGTCGAATTGCCGCACCAAAATGTCTCAGGAATTAAGTAAGTTAAGAACTACATACATATTGACATATCATCTAACATTTGATGATAGCCTTTATCGATGTGGACAAGCCGCTGTACGATCTCACCACCTTTGTGGGACGCTTCAAGTACTATGCCTGGATGACAGATCCCCGTACAGTGGTCCAGCCCAGCGAACGTCTGCTGGAGGCCAAGGAAATGATTGAAAAGTATCGCCGGGGAGAGCAGTCCTTGGTGCCGGGCAAAGCGGAGGATGTCCATTACAACATGAAGTTGTATACCTCGGCCTTCCATCCCGATTCCGGGGAGCTGCAGAACTTTTGCGGTCGCATGAGTTTTCAGGCAAGTCTCGTGATGTGTCCACTGACGTCGTGAATGAGTTGCCAAACAAAACAAAACAAAACAAAATAGGAAGAAGGAAACATGAATGTGTAATAGTTAAGCAATTTTCTCGCACGCTGTCGATTATGTAGAATCTTTTGTCTCGCTTTGGTTTAGGTGCCCGGCGGCATGTTAATCACGGGCGGCATGCTGGCCTTCTATCGGACTGTGCCGGCTGTGGTGCTTTGGCAGTTCATCAATCAGTCCTTCAATGCGGTCGTCAACTATACAAATCGCAATGCCAATTCCCCCACAAGTGTTACGCAGCTGGGCGTTGCCTATGTATCGGCCACAACATCGGCCTTGGTTGCTGCCATTGGATGCAAGAACTACTGGTCCAAGAAGGCCACTCCATTGTTCCAGAGATTTGTGCCATTCGCTGCTGTGGCAGCGGCCAATTGTGTCAACATTCCGCTGATGCGACAGAATGAGATACTCAACGGTGTGGAGGTGAAGAACACGGAGGGTGAGATTGTGGGCCAGAGTCGTCTGGCTGCCATCAAGGGTATTAGTGAGGTGGTCATATCTAGGATTGCCATGGCAGCGCCGGGCATGCTGGTACTGCCACTGATCATGGAACGTTTGGAGAAGCTGCCCGCCTACAGGCGCATCAAGTGGATAAATGCTCCATTCCAGACACTGATGGTTGGATGCTTGTATGTAGATCTACACTTAGCCAAATGTAGCACATCTTATGAATGCTGGTTTTGTTCGCCTTTCAGCCTTTGCTTCATGGTGCCCTCAGCCTGTGCTTTCTTCCCGCAGCAATGCTCCCTGGACACCTCTACCATGCGCACCTTTGAGCCGGAACTCTATGAGGATATGAAGAAGAGAACCGATGGAAATGTGCCCAAGCGTGTCTACTTCAACAAGGGTCTGTAAGGACATTGCACATGACCCCTAATGTGCAAAAAGGAAAGACAATAATTAGTCAATTGTCGTTGTCTTCGTTGTTGTTTTCTGTGTAGCATTTATTGTTTCAGATTGCGCAATATTTATATATTGCAAATGGTTCCTTGTGTCTCGTCTCAATAGCTGAACAAAGTAGTATTTAAGCTGAAAAGAAAGTATCTCAACGCCATAGAAAATGTATCTATCTATCACTAAATTTGTACTTAAAGGGTATTACTTTTTGTGTGTGAGTATTTTGTGTTTTTTAGAACTGTATTTGGAAAACTATGTTGCTGACTAGCTTATAAATTTGTTCAATTTTAGGCTTCAGGGCAGAGCAGAGACTCTGCCACAAATTAATTCGAATAATTCAAATATTGGGAATTTATTTCTATGTAAAAACTAATCTTTAATCGATAATCACAATATTCTAAAATTGTGAATATATTATTATCCATTAATTGGCAGAAAAAATTCTATGGTATCTCTGGTTTTTCTCAGGTACCACACACAGTACAGTGGTGACTCCATTTATTAGCCACAACTTGGTTTTATGTTTTAACTCTTTAGAATTGATTTACTCACCGTGTTTTGTTCCATTAACCAAAAAGTGTTGAAATAAATGTTTACTAAAACAAATAAAAATATAAACTACAAATAAAACACGTTTAATATTTGTACGGGTTTTAAAAACGGGTTTATTAATTATGTATCCTGTAAATATGTATATATATATATGTAGGTATATATATCGTAATATATAACTTTGCGCGATTTCATTTATTTTTGGAATCTATCGGTTTTTGATTTCGGTTTTGTTTATCGTGTTGTAAAGTTTACAAAAATGTGCAAAACACAACTAATGTTTGAATGTATCTATAGAATATAGAAATATCTTTCCTTTTTTTTTGGGGTGAGGACTCTCTCCATATCTTTCTCTTATTGTTCAGCTGTGTATCGTTTAGGTTTTCCAACATTTCTTATATGTAGTATTTCTTGGACATTCTCAAGGTACAATTTTTCGTTTTTTCGTTAAATATTATATCTAGTACTTTTTGTTTTTCTTTTGTTGGCACTCTCTCGCTTAAAAATTCTGATTATTTTCGGTGCTAAATATTGATGGAAAAACTTCAACACTCAGAGATGTTCAATATGTGTAAAATTGTTTTATCTTAACAATAAAAACACCAAAAAATCCGAACAAACACGCCCCATGGGTGTGTGGGGGTAGTGGGGCCACAAATTACATAGCTGCCTGGCAGCACAAATTTTTCGTTTCCGATTTTGTAAAAAGTAGTAATATTTTTGTATTTTTCGAATTTGTCACATGAATCAGCAAACATTAAATATTAATTTTTCCTTTTTTTTTGTATTCGTTATTTATGAATTATTATTGTGGCAAAACACACACAAATATGTCCCATTGTGTGCTCTTTTGGGGGCTGGGCTCTAAAAACAAACGTTTTTCAATGGCATTTCGAAAGTTAATATTTTTGGACTTTATTTTATTTATTTTCCAAACCGACTGAGGCATTCAACGTCAAATTGGCATTTAAATCTTGTTTTTAATACCTTAACATATTTGCAATAATATATTTTCTGCCTTTTTTCGCAGCGGGGTTGTTGTGTGCATGTGTGTGTGTGTGTAGCTGGGAAAGCTCATTCAAAATCGTAGGGTTTTCCGCTGCAAAAAAATGTGGGTGTTAAAGCTAGAATTTCTCTAGCTTAGCCAAGCAGCAATCATATCATCCTACTGTCCAACAGGAACTTCGATCCGTATTTAGCTGCCTCAACAAAACCTTCAACGTTTCCACGTTACATTCCTGTACTTAGATCAGTGGGAGGTAACCCCCTGATTTTCAGACTGTTTTTTGCGATAAAAACAAACATTTCCAAGTGGAAATTGGAATGTGCTCTTGGGTATTGAGAACTCGACTCAATGTGCGACTCAATAATGTTTATTTTTCTCTTATAAACTGTATTCAAATTCATTCCTATGTATACTTATAACATTTCGTAACAACCCATTCGCCAACTGCGGACTTATTTCCTGAGCTTTCAATTTAGAATATTCCAATCTCTTCTGCACTTACCATCTGCAAACCTGTCCAACCATTATCAAATCAGTCTAGCTTCAGCTAAAACCCCTAACCAACCATTGGTTTTTTTTGGCCATGTTTTTATGTTTTTCTTCTATTAAATTCTGCTTTGTTATCTCTGATTTTTCTCTTTTTTTATATATATTTTATTTGTTTTTTTTTATTGCGCACAGCCTTTTTTTCGAAAATGTTTGGATTCATTTTTTTTTAGTGTTCCATTTATTTTAATTTATTTTTTTTAAACGTCACCTGATAAAATTTTGTACCAACATTGCCTGTCTAGGGGAAAACAGCCCGACCTACCACTATATACATATATATCCTATATATATATATAAAACAAACCATTCATTATCTTTCCTATTCGCTGTTTTCCAACTATAACATTTCATATTTGTTTTTAGAATATTCTTTTTCTTAGAATCTATAATATGAGGATTTACCTTGTCCTGTTCTGCATCCCTTACAGCCCCTTGCAGACCCTTGGCAATTTATGGGGGGTTTTCTCTTTTTTTTGTGTTGTGCAAAATTTTTTGTTTGTATTTTATTTTTGTTTTCTGCGTTTTAGTTGGGGATTTGTTTTTGTTTTGCTTCAATTTTAAAAATTCTCTTCGATATTCGGGATTTTAGTTTACTTTAAACTTACATATGACTTGGCATTCAATAATAGTGTTACATATATGTACGGTAGATATAGCTATATGTATGTATTATATATATATTAGATTTGGGGATGGTGGCTTATCGGGGCGGGGCTTCCATTGTATATAACAGTTTTAAATTTATGTCTATAAACAATGTTCGAGTTTCTTTGTTTTTGTTTTGTTTTAGTACATTTAAAAATTACAAATAAAACAACAACAAAAAAACATCATTCAATATTTGATTTTTGTATGTTTTTTTTTGTGGTTTTCTTTGCTTTGCTTTAACGTACATAACGGTATGCATATATATTCTCTTGACTTGGCTTAGCAGTTAAATACAAACATGTACAATGGGATGCGGCGAGGGGGGAGGGGGAGAAGGAGGTGTATATACTCTATATATAAATATATTTTATATATTTTTGTTACTTTTTTGTGTGGATAACATTGGATTTTGTTTGTTGTTTTGCGCAATAATTTTTCTGCATTTAGACCTTAGAAATGTACCAAACATTAGATTTATTATATTATAATATTAATATTAATTCTAAATATATTATGGGTATTCCTGCGCTTGGTTGCATAAATCTTGTCAAAGAAAGTGGAAAATATTCTTCGTTTATTTCGTATCCCAAGCAGGAGTGCCCCTATTATTTACGCTGCTCATATGTAGTGTGTGTGTGTGTAGGAAAAGCTTTGTCTCTTTAGTGTCTGCCTGTCTGTCACTGGCCATCTAGAACGCGTTCCCATCGGGGGCATCATCTGCATCCTCCAGTTGCTCCTCGTCGGCCATTTCCAGCTGCAGTTCCTCCCGCTGCACCACTTCCACCACCGACACCGCTTCGGCGGTGGTGGTGGTTGATGTGGATGAGCTGGTGGTGCTGGCTGGTGACATGTTGTCCGGATTGCTGCTGTTGGCTGCCAGGTAAATGCAGCACGGCGGTGGCGATGTGGCTGCGGCTCCTCCGGCTAATAGAATCTCCTGACTTGGCGGCAGCACAAAACTCTTCCCACCCAGCAGCTGGTCTCATTTGAGACCCGTGTCCGAGGATGGTGTCCAGCGATCAAACTCAATGCCCGAATCTGGCGACACCCCAGTGGCCTTGGCCAAATGGGCGGCCATAAAGCCCCCCGTCTGCATGCACTTGCAGTCGGGGGCAATGCAGTTGCACGAGAATTTGGAGCCGCGGCCGCCGCAACGTGAGGCAACCACACTGGGATTGGTGGCCATTAAGACCGAATTCGAGACAGAGCTGCTGACGGGTGGCTCCATAACGCCGCCCATCATGCTGCAGCCGCCCTCGTCCATAGCCTGGCCATCGCCAGGACTCAGTCGCAGTTGACTTTCAAAGGACTGCAGCTGCTGCATGAAATGGAAGTTGGGAGACACATCCGGCTTCCTGTCGCGCACCATCATGAAGGCGTCATTGAGGCTGAGGCCACGCGTGTGCATCAAGTAGGCGAGCGTCACGGTCACCGAACGCGAAACGCCAGCCAGGCAGTGGACCAGCACCGCTGAGTTCGCAGAGCGCGCTTCCTCTGTGAAGCGATAGAGAGAGAGAGAGATTAGCTTGGATGGGGATGCTGAAGAAACGTTCGGCTTACCTATAAACTGTATGGCATCTGGGAAATGCATGGCCAAATCCTGTGAATAATGATCGGTGATCGGTATTTGCAGATACTTGATAATGCCCGATTTTTCAAATTCATTTGGCAAATCTGGTGTCACATTCAACACATACTGGAAGGCAAACAGAGAAAGAAGATTAATAAGGATTCCCTATATATGTATATATATGTATGTATCCCGATTCTGCTACTCACCTTAATGTTGTACTTTTGCAATGCCTTCGAGTCGCCGCTGTGTGTGACATTACCCAGGAATAGTAATCCTGGTATTATCTCAACGGGCGCCTCATTATAGCTATGATGATGATGATGATGGTGATGATGATGATGGCTGGTGCTCTCACAGTCTGAGGATTCAGCCGAACTGCTGCAGGCGGAATCGGAATGCGGTGTGGAAATGCGTAGGGATCTAAGGGCGGATTAAAATGATTAATTCTGGGTAATCCTCTATGTGTAGTTAAACATACCTGAGACCCATTAACTGATCGGTCTGGACACTGCGACTAGTTTCCATCTCTTTGTTGTGCGACTGGCTATCATCCTCGCACCACTCCGGAAATGCTAAGCGAAAACTGGAAAAGCCATCTGAAAGAGAGCGAAGAGACGAGAGAGAGAGAGAGATTGAGAAATGGTTGAGAAACTTTAGAATGTGCTTGGGGCATTCCTCTTTTGGTTCGTCTCCCGTTTTGTCATATGAGAGGCCTTCTCTGGAATGCCTACTCCCAGCCCAGTGGCGACGTTTGTTATGCTTGGCCAAGTGTAGCGCGTTTTGGGTCTTTGGTAAGACAACACCACCTACATGTTGCAGCTATTAAACACCCGCCCGCCCGCCGGGTGCCCCCCGCTCAAGTATGCGTGAAATTCTTGCAAGCGAATCCATTCATAAAAAAAGACAAACCAACACAAGAAAGAGGGTTCCGTATGGAGGAGGAGTTTTCTTCTTCGTGTCTTCTCTCTATCTCTGCAATTGGAAACGGAAGTGCGACGACTTTGGCCATATCAAACGGAAGTGTAGTGCTGCTGTTTCTGCTGCCTGCCTGCCTTCTATATGGTCTGGGAATCGTCATCCGAGCAGCAGGCAGCATAATAGAAACCGGAAGTATACAATTTTCTACTTGCTGCATATTAAATGCGAACAGCACAACAGCAACAGCAACAGCAAACATCAACGCAAATTGTAGAGGAAGGCAGGCAGGCGGGCCAAGGGAAATGGAAATTCCAACAAATTTTCATCAGTTATCAACGTGCAACGGGTGGTATACGCACTTGCCATTGCGACTGCAAGTCTTTTAAAAATAGCCCAAGATACCGCACCGCATGCAAGTCATACAAAAGGAACTTGATAGGATGATGGAAAGCAGGGGTCGGTGCCGGTGCCGGGGGCGTGGGCGAGGGAGGACTGGCCATGGCCATGGGTATATCAATCCACTCGGCCTCTGACAGGCACAAACTGCATTTGATAGCAATTTCCTGCTCAAACAACTCTGCTGCAGTGTTCCCCCCGGCTGAATGGTTCCTCCGTCACACCCGAGAAGAGGGTGGAGGGAGTTGGAATGTTGCACGGACTTTGGATTGGCCTTGGCAATGAAAACCTTTTGATATATGTATGTATGCCTTGAAAAAGTTAATTAATATCCATGATTGACACCTGTCCTCACAATTTCCTCTTCTATTTTCTGTCCTTTGAGCAAGATAAAATTAATGACAAAAAAATATCTAGGGATCTTTTAAGCTGTAAAGGATCACAGTATAGCCTTGCACATTTCTCGGTCTGAAATCTTATATTTGTGCAGTAGAGAAAATTATGAAAATTCTTTTCCTCCCAGCCAAACCACAGACATACAAAGATACATCTCTGTAACTTCAAGCAGTGCCTAACCCTAACCCTAACCCCCTGCCCTTCCCTTCTTTTACATACCATTAGATCTCAGCTGTACCGCTCTATTGGAAACTTTCCCCACTGTAAAACCCAAACAATCATCATACTATCATATAGATAGCCATATGGCAATAATTTTATGTGTGCACGGCCCTCTCTACTCTACTCCACGTTTATGCCCTCATATGGCATATAAACAGAGACACTATATATCAGTCATATATGTACATACATGTACATATGTATGTACATATGTATGTATCTCTATATCTTTATAGTTTTTGCTATTGTATTTTTTGTCACACTTTGTGAGTGGCTTTTGTGTGCTTGGGATTGTTTCATTGATGAGTTCACATCACACACACAAACAAAACGAGCAAAACGATCAAAATGAGCGAAACAAAACCACAGAAACCACAGTGCCAAACGACCTTCAAAACATTTGAAAAAAAAAACAAAACAAAAAAACTTGTAAACTTGGAAAAAGCTCAACAAAGCGTAAACCGAAAAGGGGTTTTGAAATACAGATTTGTACATATTTCATATTTGTTTTAAAAACCGGATTTGGGGTCTCCAAGCTCACACACACACACCTGAGCGGTGCAAATGCATACACACAAATATACCCACCCACAAAAGTCTCAGCTCATCTCTCCCTCTCCCATCTCGCCCACAATGTCACCAATTTGCTGTTATAGCAACCCCCCCGCTTTGCCCCCAACGATAAAGAACAAAAACCAAGGGCAATTGCCCCGCCAACAGGCACAAACCCCCACCCCCCCCGTAGCTATTGTTCAAAATTCTACAAAAGATAAAAAAAAGCCGCCAAAAAACCCCCCCCCAAGGTGACAGTGTAATTATTATAAATAAAAAAAGATAAGCGGAGATGTCGAAGTTTTGGATACTCTTGGCAGAAAACTATCTTTAATTATAGTTTGGATGATACGATATTGCAAATATATTGCAAAACTTCCACACTCATTAATGACACTTTTGGTGGATTATTTAAAACGATTTTTCTCTTTTAGGACCATCTTTCGGAAACACACAAGTTTTTCTATGGTACGAATGAGCTGAACAATTTCCAGGTAAATAACAGAAAAATACCATTTCTCATTATTATTATAGGTAATGAAAGAACCCTTTCCCGAGTTAAATTAAAATCCAGACTTGCTTGCATCAATTCTTCATGTGTTCAGAAATTTCTTCCTTGTTCGGTTTAACATTTATCAATACCCTTATCGGAAAGGGTATACAAAGATAATGCAAAATAAAACAAAACAATAAAGAGACGTTTTTTCACCGCATTTTCGTCGTTGAACGATTTGTTCCGCGGCTCATTCATTGTTTTTTTGTGCTGCCGCTGCCGCTACGGGCACTCATTTATTTGTTTGTTTTTAATTATATAGTATATAGATACACTTTTTGTTGTTTTACCTTCCACCCGTGGACTCTTATCTCCAACTCCTCACCACCCCCCACGCACTCTTTTCGTTTCGTTTATCAACAACAAAAAGAGCAACGGCAAAACGTGAGTTAAATAACTTTTGGCTCACTTCTCTTTGGGTTACACAGATACAGATACACGAGCAAACACACACAGACACACACACACAGAAAGCTCTATTCATTCACAGGTACCACACTTCAGGCCCGGCCCCCTCACACCCCCTGCATACCCCTTTTGCTGGCCAAAACCAACGGATATGACGTAGGCGTGCGCGTTGTTGTTTTTGCCTTTTTTGCTCTCAACCTTTTCTCTATTTTGCCGCATAAAAACAGTTAGCCAAGTGGTTCAGAGATGCGTTAAGAGTAGGAGTGGGAATAGAGGGGGGAAAATGAGAACCCTTATATGGTTTGGCCCATTCTGTGGGCGTTTTGTTTTTTTTTTTTTTGGTTTGTTTTGTAGCTTAGATGACGCAGATTCCTTAAGTGGAATACATGACACGCCCACACACAGCCAGCCAGTTGTAGGGAATCCAAAACACCAAAAAGAGAAGCCACCCGTAACCCCACCGACACACCGACACACAGACACACAGACACACCGACATGTACGTCCGTTTAGGCCCCCATTGATGGATTTTGTGGAAAAAACACACAACGAAAACAGAAACAGAAACCGAAACCGGAAGCCCCAAACAGCAAACGCAACACATGCATGAAGCTAAACACATGACACAAAGCAATCAACCATGGAACACATTTCCAAATTTCTACATTTCCACATTTCCATTTCTATATTTATAGATTTGTTTAAACATATTCAAAAGTTCTCCAAGGAGAGACCCAAGAGCCATGGATGTGCAATGTGCAAATTGTTGAAGGTTGAAGCCTGAAGCCTGTGCAGATCCTGGAATATCTAATTAGTTCGTCAGAAAATCAAGAAATTGCACAAAAGTTAAGGGAAGTTTCATTGAAATGCTTTTGCTTTTGCGGTACTTTCAATGGGGGGTATCCATTTATACATCTACATACATATGTATGTATGTATGTATATCCATGTAAATATGTACCACCCAAATATTTCATATGCTTTTTCCGAATCGTTGTGTTTGTTGATATTTTCCAGCTACATTACTTTAAAGTTTAAACATTTTATCGCATTTTCCGAATCTCTGCCCCAAGTCCAATAATGCCTTTTTAATCACTCGCCTCGACATCCAGCAGCAAACTAGCACTCTAAAAAATTCCCCTACACATTCCCCACATAACATTTTCCGCCTTTTTGGGTGTGTGTGTGTATTATGTGTGGACTTTTCAGCTTAGTTTTTCTTTTTTGTTGGAGTTTTGAAATTGTTTGTCATAGGGATTTCGAAAAGTATACAAAACGGGAGGATAGGGCTGTGAGGAAGTGTGTGTGTGTGTGTGTGTGGGGCTCTCAAAAGTTGTGGAAATCAATATTACGCATACGCCATGTGTGCCAGGGAAGGGCATGGAAGGGGAGCAGCAGAAAATGTGATCACTGCTGGTGGGTCGGTCTGTGCTGGCAAATGCATTCAGCCGTGCGTTACACAATGCCAGATACAGATACTATAAATACATATAAAAATATACATACATATGCATGTACATATATCAACTTATGCATATGGGAGGGAACAAATGGGGTGTCCGGAATGGGGCGTACTGCTGCTGCTGTTTGCTGTTGCTGCCTCTGCCTCATGAATGAAAAACCAGACCATACCGGCAACGGCAACGACGACGACGACGACAACGTCCGCCTGCAGTTCAATGCTATTTGTCAATGAGTCAGTAGTCGTCGTCGTCGTCGTCGCTGTCCGTCCGTACAGACACAATTCCTGGGTCTCGAACTGGAACTGAAACTGAAACTGGAGGGGGAAAAAACAGTCATAAAGAGAAATATTCTGGGGTCCCATATCCATTAGCCATATGCATACCAACCCCACCCACCCCCACTTCGACAGCAACATGGCCCCAATTTTGTTTACATTTGCCTTCTAGATCCCGCACCGAAAAAAAGAAACTCACAGTGCGTGTATTTTTTATGCCTGTTCTTTTGCTTATTTTTGGAGCACACATTTTTTCCCCATTTTCCCCTTCCCCCTACCCCAAGACATAAACAAAAGTGCATTGAAAAGCACCTGAGGGTGGGGTGGTAAATTATTAATGGCCGCCGTTGCCGCCACTTCCGTCTGCGATGGAGGAAAACTTTTCTCTTGCTTTAATTTTCCTTTGCAATGCA